CATCCCCTGGATGAAAGCATTACTGTGATTCACCTCAATTCAAACACGAGGTTTAGCAAGGTACCAAAGACAGACAAGCGACAGTGCGCAAAGAAGAAATAAAAAGGAAGCAGTACTGGGAGAAATGCACTGCTAGCATTTAATAATTTAACATAGTATAAATTTCTGAATGAGGGAGAAAACCCAAACAGAGAAAACCAGTCATAAGGATTATGCTTGAATTTTAAGACGTACTCGTAGCTTTAAAAAGGTCACGGCATTTTAAAGTTGGGCAGAAGGAAACGCCGGTAATTGTTCATGGCTGGCCCTCCGGTTTCCTGGGCCACAGGAGGCCGCGGGGTCAGCCTGGTTGTGCAAGGCAGGAGGCCCGAGCCTCTCACTGACTGTAGTACCTTTGACAGCTTTTCCCTCTTTGAACCAGCTTCTTCTCTTGCAAAACAGGTTTAATAATACTTGTCAACTCCTTCAATTGCCCGGGTTTTGTGCTCTGAGTTATTTCACTGACAGGTGTTAGCAGAACAACTTATCATTGCTTTTAACTTCTTGACAATGATGTGCTTGTTACAGATTCTCTGAGATGATTCATAGCAGAGAAAGGAATGACCTGGTGAAATAGAGATGAGAAGGGTTTCGACCAAAAAGGTCACGCTAATAACTGGTTCGGCCCAGAGTCCGGGGCTATGCTGCCTTTTGCATTCCATCCTTTCTTCTTCTGGCTACAAGCTTCTGACACACCGTGCAACTAGCATAAGGATCGTACTATTAGTTATGACCCAATTAAAATTCATTGCGCTCACTTATTATTCCTCCTGCCTGTGCTCTCCAGCCCTACCTGCTCCTCTCGGCCTTTGTGTGTGCCACATTTACAAGGAGGAGAGTACTTTCCAAACCAACTTAGTATCTCTTTCCACCTCTGTAAAAAGAACTTAGCCGTCCAACTGAAACTTCATGCCGTGCTTCCTAACCCTAAATTTGTGGACATATATATGATTTATTCAAGGAAGTAAAACATGAATTATGCTTAAAACAGTTGTTAACTGAAGTTTGATTTCTAGCCGATCTTTTCCTAGCTAACAAGTCTATGGCTAAAAAGTCATTTGCCTGAAGATGTAGCTACTCTTGAATTTATAGAATAGAAAAACAATCCTCTAGCCAGAAGTGGCCAGCCTTTCAGAATGTCATATCCTTGACCCTTATTTATCTAAATTCTGCTTCTGTGTGAATAACTGGGCTAGGTACTTAGGAGAGCCAACAAGATGAGTTATGTATGGTCTTCTCCCAGGGTATGGTCTTCTATGGCTTACTTTCATTCACATCTCCGCTCAAATGTTACCTCCTCAGAGAGGCCTTCCCAGCTACCTTATAGGAGATACCCCCTTTCTATTTTATCCTTTTCAACGTTTTAAAAACTGATTCCAGAGAGGAAGGGAAGGGAGGGTGGGGAGAGAGAGAAACATTAATGATGAGAGAATCATTGACTGACTGCCTCCTGTATGCCCTCCACTGGGGATTGAGCCTGCAACCTGGGCATGTGCCCTGACCTGAATAGAACCAGCTACCTTATAGGAGATACCCCCTTTCTATTTTATCCTTTTCAACGTTTTAAAAACTGATTCCAGAGAGGAAGGGAAGGGAGGGTGGGGAGAGAGAGAAACATTAATGATGAGAGAATCATTGACTGGCTGCCTCCTGTATGCCCTCCACTGGGGATTGAGCCTGCAACCTGGGCATGCGCCCTGACCTGAATAGAATGGTGACCTCCTGGTTCCTATTTTAATTTCTGTTAAGTATTTATTCATTCATTCTGGCAAGAAACACTAGGTTTCTGGAGCAGAGACAGCCTTTTACTCATAATTGCATTAATTACTTCTCTGTCCCAATCCCAACAGGGTAACATGATGAGAGAAACCTCAAAATAATGAATTTTTGGAATTTATATAGGACAGCTGACACAGCTGCTGTTCCTCCTCTCCACTGGGAAGGGGCAGGGGGAGGAGGGAGAGAGGGTGAAGAGGACCTACTGACCTTTGCTTTGTAATATAATGAAATCTTCTCAGGAGGTGGGGCAGGTCTCTAGGTTTACAACCTCTAGAATGTAAATTAATGTGTCCAGGGGAGAAATCTCTAAATCTCTCCAGGTCTCTGACTTCTGAGGTTTGTAAATTATATGGTTATGGACCACATTTTCCTGATTTTTTTGGCATGACTAATGCTTTTTTTATTGGATGCTGAATATTGCAAATATTACATAATTGAATATCTTAATTTGTATTTTTCCAAAAGGTAAGACTCCCCCCCACCCCCCACCCCAGGCAGTTAAGTAATTTGAAGATCTGTCTGATTCTTCTGAGGATAGTTTTGAGATTTGTTAAGGTGAGTTTAGGGTAGCCTTTAGGGCAGTTCACCCTTCTATTCAGTTGTGGATATTCTGGGATTTTTACGGAAGGCTCTCTGGCTAGTTAGAACTCAGCACCTCCCATTCCTATATGATTTCTGGGAAATGTTCAGCTTAGAACTCTCCAGTAGCTGCCCAGCTTTGTGGAGTTTCTCTCTATGAATTTCCATTTAGTATTTAGTAACAGACTTAAGGGGACTCCTTTGCAGACTTCTGGACCTTTCCCTGATTAGCTCCTTCCTATCCAGCACACATTCCCATAAATTCTAGCCACCTGAGTCTCCCTAAGCTATAGTTTCCTCGACTCACGGATAGTGCCATGATTTCCTTGAGTTCTTCCTCTCTGGGCCAATAATGAGCCTCCTGGAACCATCTTATGTGTTTTCTTTCTCTTCTGGATAACACACAAGTTGTTCAATAGATGAAATGGCTGCTTCATATATTTTGTTTCATATATGTCCCATTTTCTAGTTGTTTATGGTGGGAAGGTAGGTCTGGTACTAGTTACTCCAACATGGTCAGAATTAAATATTGTTTGAATGAATGGTCTATACTTCAAAAGACACTCATATAGATAGTTGGGATGATAGATGCCAATGTACATAAGTCATATGGTGAGGTGAGGCAGGGCAACTATAGCCCAAGGAGAAAAGTAAACCAGTTATTAAACATGAATATGGTCAGAATAATGGGGACAATAAGTGTCCACATCTTTCTTCATTCTTAATATGTGGGAAAAGGATTGAGTACAGAAGGCATCAGGAGAGGCTTATAGGTCAAAATATTAAAGATATATTTAAAAATGAAAATATACCTTTATATAATTTTTTGAATATATATATATTTACTACCAGCTGAGAAAAGTCCCAAGAAAAAATAGAAACTTGGAAGGAAGGTACAGAGGAGCTAATTTTGGAACTAGAAGCTACAAAAGGAGAGGGTAGGAAAATATATGTGTGTATATGGGAGTTCAGGGAGTGAGGACTAGACAACTATAGGAAGGCATATAAGGTATGTGGAAAAATCAGGATGCAGAAAAATAGAGCAGAAAGGGAATTGGTGAGACTAAAGCATTTATTGAAGTTCTGATGAAAAAAACCTTTTAATTCATTGAAGACAAGCAAAGTATGAAGCGACAACTACAAAATTGATATTTTATTTTCTGTTTTGCCAATTAATTTTAGTAATTTTTAAATTCCAAAATGACTTCTGTCACCATGCTGTAATTATCTAGGCTACTTCTTCCTGCCATCTGTTGGTATAGGGTAAAGAAATACAAATGGAATTAATTTTATCCTAAGTAAAATAAAATTAGAAGGATAAATCAGCATACAAAAATGTTTCCTGGAACCAATTAATACAAATTTTAATTTATCTACTATTTTTGGGTTTTGGTGCTTATGCTTCTTTTGCATTCCCATCATCATGAATATCAAGAACTGATTATATTATATTTGAGCTTCACAAAACATTTGTAAGATGTGTTAGCGTAAGTCTTATCATCTCTGTTTTAGGGAGAAAGTGAGAATTCAAAATAGTAATGGTTTATCAAAATGCACGTATCTGTTAGGTTGTTTAATTTTAATTCAGGTTTAATAGATTCCATTGCTATGGTCTTTTAAACCATACTATGCTACTTGGCTTTGACAATCAGCTTTCTCTCAACTTTTAAAATGATCTACTTTCTTAGCAACTTTCAAATATGCAATACAGTATTATTAACTCTAGTCACCTTGCGGTACAGTACATTACATCCCATGACACTTACTGGAAGTTATAAAGTAGTACCTTTTGACCCCCTCTTACCTATTTTGCCCACCTTCCCACCACCTGTCTCTGGCAACCACCAATCTGTTCTCTATGTCAATGGCCTTGTTTTGTTTAGATTCCCATATAAGTGAGATCATGTTATTAGTGTTTCTCTGTCTGACGTATTTCACTTATCATAATGCCCTCAAAGTCCACCATGTTATTGCAAATGGCAAGATTTCCTTTTTATAATAATATTCCATTGTGTGTGTGCATCGCATTTTCCTTATCCATCTATCTGTCCATCCACCCATCCACCCATTCATGGATGCTTAGGTTGTTTTCAGATCTTGGTTATTGTAAGTAATGTTGCAATGAACATAGGGGTGAAGGTATCTTTTCAGTTAGTGTTTTTATTTTCTTTGGATAAATACCCAGAGAGGAATGGCTGGAAATATGGTAGTTCCACTTTTAATTTTTTGAGGAACCTCCATATTGTTTTCCACAGTGGCTGCACCAATTTACACTCCTATCAACAGTGCACAGGGTCCCTTTTCTCCACATCCTCACCAATACATATTATATTTGGTCTTTCTGATAATCATTCTAACAGGTCTGGCATAATACCACATTGTGGTTTTGATTTACATTCCCCCGATGATTATTGATGTTGGCATCTTTTCATGTACCTTTTGGCCATCTGTATGTCTTCTTTGGAAAAATGTCTCTTCAGATTGTCTGCCCATTTTTAAATCAGATTATTTGCATTTATTTTTATTTTTTGCTATTGAGTTGTATTAATTCTTTATATATTTTGGATTTTTTTTCCTCTCAATTTTGACGATAATGTTGGACAACCAGTAGATATAACAGATAAATACTTAACATTATTAATATGAGCAAACTCTGTATTAAAAATGACCTATATAATTCATTCCATTCCTCGGCTTCTTTGGCTGTGATACTAAGTGATGTTACAAGGGAGAGAGTGGCAGCGTCCACTAAATGTCATAATAGATTAGTGCTCATTCTTTAAAATCTTATTAGTATTTCAAACCTCTTTTCATAGCCAATTCCCTATGCCTGGAAAGTTCTTTCCCTGTTTCCGTGCTGAGCTTATCCATATGCATCCTTTAAAATTCAACTCAGATGTTACTCCTCTGGGAGTCCAAATGTAACAGTGAGGGTGGTTGCCCTGTCTCTGCGTTCCAGCAATCTATGCATGTTTTTCTCATAGCTGTATCACAATCATTTCTGTATCACTATGGCCTAAGACTGTGCCTATTCACATCATGTGCCCAATAAACATTTATTAAAATATATAATACATTAATTGTGCCAGATACCATTTCTTGAGTGGTTATCATAAGATAAATACTGCACTAAGCACTTTATGACCACAAAATCACTTAATCCTTATAATTGTCCCATGAAAAAATTGTTCTTATTTTGATCTCCATTTTACAGATAAGGAGAATGAAAATTAGATAAAAAACATACTCAAGTTCACCCAGTAGAAGATGGCAGAGCCAGGATTCAAACCACGGTTGGTCGGACTCCAAAACCCATTAAAATATATTATTCACAAATGTCTTTAAAGCTCCTTGGATACCTCTATATTTCATGTTTTTGTAATTTCTTGTGTAATTTCTGGTAGCTATGCTTCTGAAGAATACTGGAGTTGTGCAAGCTGAACCAAGATGCTAAGATGGAAAGACCAAATAAGGTGCTCCTTTCCCTAGAGTTCAGAAGGAATTAGGTTGATGAACAGATGTTCTCAAATTTGACTTTTTTTCTTCAACCCTTGGGCTCACTACTCTGTAAATTATAATTTAATAGAAGAGAAAATGTAATTTCATGTGAAATATGAATATAGTTAACTTAAGCTTAATATTTTATGGTAATACACAAAAAGCGTCATGACTTCCTTGTGCTCTACAACCTTAATGAGCTTGATAAACTATTCCAAAGAGTAGTTTATTATAAAATAACATGTTTGAAATAATTCAAAATACATCAGAACTCACATTGAATGTGAATGGATTATATTCTCCAGGTAAAAAATACACACAAAAAATACAGTCATTAAAAAGAAATATAACAGAACAAACCAACAGAAAGACTAAATCCAGCTATGTGCTCTTTGTAAAGACATACACCTCAAACATAAGAACTGAGAAAGTTTAAAATATGGGAAAAGGTAAAATATGGCAAATAGCAACTAAAATAAAACTGGATAGCTTTACTAAAGTCATCCAAAGTAAAACCTTAGAGTACAAAAAGATAAAGAGGAGGTAAACTTTAACTGAAAGATTAAATTGAGCAGCAAAAGGTTCTAATTCTAATGCAACCAATAAAATAGTATATATATGTATGTATAATACACACACACACACACACAATGAGAAATTGACAAACACCATCATGGTTGGTAATTTTAACGTAATTCCTTAAGTGATTGACAGATCAATCAGAGAAAAGGTCAGGCTGGCCTAATGAACATATATAAAACACCATGGCTAACACCTATTAAATCATAATTTTCCTAATGTATACATTGAACATTTACAAAATCAACCAGGTACCAGGCTATAAAATCTCTTCAAATTTCAAAGAATAGTCTGTTTAGAAAATATTTTCTGACCTTAACAGGTTAAGTTAGAAGTTAATAATAAAAAGATAAATTAAAAAGTTCCATATCTCTTTATATGAAAGGCTAATATGCAAAGTGTCCCCTCAGGTGTTCAAGTGGGAGACCAGAGTTCGATTGCTCGCTATGACGTGTGCTGACCACAAGGGAGCGGTGCGGAACTCTGGTTTCCCGGTCAAGGAAGGCCCTGGTTGGCAGCCAGAAAGCCCCTATCGACCCTGATCGCGGCCAGGCCTAGGGACCCTAACCGTGTAGGAATTTCATGCACCAGGCCTCTAGAGTAAAGAGATTTTAAAAATGTTTCTAAATAACTGATGGATCAAAGAGGACATAATAATGTTATTTAAGAAGTAGTAAAAACTGAGTTTGTTTTATACTCCACATGAGTGAAATCATATGATCCTTTGCTTTTTCTGACTTATTTCACTTAACAATATTTAGAAAACTGAAACTCAGAGACACAGGCAACAGTTTGGTGGTTTCTACAGGGAAGGGGTTGGAGGAGTGGTAGAGGGTAAAAGGTGCTGAATATATGGTGATGGAAGATGATTGACTTTGAGTTGTGGGTAAGCAATGCAATATACAGATCATGTATCATAGTAATGTACTCTTGATTCCTATATGACCCTATTAACCAATGTCACCCCAATAAGTTTAATGTAAAGTGGAATAGTGAAAATAAATTACAATACAGTGGTCTTCCCCCAACAAGCATGAAGCATAGAATTCTTTTGTTCCATAAGATGAGACTCTTTCCAAGAACTCCACTTTCTAGATCTTGTCAATCTGGGAAAGCTAACTGTCAGCTCAGGGTTTGCTCAGAAAGGACCAGAAAACGAATGCTTGATTCATGTGTTTTACCTAACAGATTTTATTTAACAGATGTTTTCAACTATTTTATCACCTAAATATTTCTTTTAACTTTTTCCCACTTCTTTATCCCCATCACTACTGTCCTAGTTCAGGCCTTCATCATCTGTTGTGAAGACTATTGCTTTACCTTTTAAATAGGTCTCCCAGTCTTCAAGAAGAATGCCTTTGATACCTTCAAAACATTGCCACCTTTTAAATCTGCCCTTGGCACTGAGTGAGCTTTGTGAAATACAAACCTGACCACATCATTCCTGTACGGGAGCTTATCCCTGGCTCCCAGGGTCTGCAGAGTAAAACCCAAGCACCTTAGCCTGGGCAATAAGGGCCTTCGTCAACACCTTACATCTGATGTGCTACAGACCCAGCGGTTGCTGTCCCTGGCACACCCCATGCACACCCACATCTGTGACTCCTTGCTTTTTTTTGTTGGGCTAGCACCTGCTTATTTGTCAAGACTTGACTCGGGAGGCATTTCATCCAGGAACTTTTTCCTGTGTTCCCACAGGACCTGCAAGTATTTACATCATACTACAATGATCTATTTTTCTATGGGCCTCTTCCTTGGACTCTAAGTTCCTCAAGAACAATGACCACGTTTTACTAATTGCGGTATCCTAGAACGTAGTGCAGTGCCGGTATTTCATTATGTACAAGTAATCAAAATACCGGAGCAACTTCATCACAAAGCCCTCCTTCCCGTGCTCTCCCAAGAATATAGACACTAGGGCAAAAAGAGCTGGCAACGGAATGGTTTATAAAGGGACCACACAGTATGTGCTCTTGGTAATATGTAATTTACTTTTCAACGTATTTTCTTGGAAGGGCCCCAAATTAGCAAGTTTCCCATAAGTGATTTCCTCTGATGTTAGGGGAATTCAGTTGACAGAAACATGTTTAACAAAATACTGAAGTAAATGTTGATTGGTAACTGCTAAGCAACTTGCAAGACAATTTAAGGGGCAGAAAGAATAAGATAGGATATTATATTCCTCTAATGTTGGGAAAGCATAATACTTTTTGGACCAATATTCCTTTGGCTTTTGCTTCTCTGAAATTGTGACTGCAAAAGATTTTGATGTTCTAGATATCACAAGTCAAGGGGGTTCTGGTGCAATGCAGGTTAGAGGGTCACTGTAACATGTCAAACACATTCTATGTACATGTTACACACTCTATGTAACATTTTAGCTTATTTTTCTTTTCTTTTCTGTTTTTTAAATTTGTTAGTAATGCAGGTCCAATGTTTCATCCAACTTTGGATCTAAAAGCTTCTCAATTCACTTATTCCACTATCCAATTAAAATCTCTGGAGAACTGAGCAATCATTTCCTGACTTGCCAGGGATTAAATGTGGATGCTTGGCTGAACATGAGCCTTATCTCCCAAGCCATCACTTTTAATTGGAACCTGTAACATAGGGTTTTAGCTGACATCATAGTCTATTGCCATGGAAATGTAAACATGGGTTTCTATTAGACTTGTCTCAAAGCAAGTTTTAGTGGTAGAGACCTGGAGACAGGAGATAAATTGTATAAAAAATGTATCCTCTGAAGGTTAGAGTGCCCTAGAAACTCAGACCCTTGGTGATCTCATCCTGCTCACGGCTTTAAATACCATCTATACACTGACAACTCTCAAATTTACATTTCCACCTGGACCTCTCTTCTAAAATCAACTCCTATATCTAGTGGTCTTCAGTTGGATGTCCAATAGACATCTCAAATCTCAGATGTCCATCCTAAGCGCCTGATATTGCCTTCTCCCTGCCCAACTCGCTCTGCTCACCATCTTCTGTATCTCAGCAAAGGTAACTTCCCTTTCTGCTGGCAGAGGCCATAGAACTTGGAGTAACCTTGACCTATGTACTCCTCCGCAAAACCTGTCAGCTCTACATTCAAAATACAATCAAAAGATGCTCACTTCTCTCCACTTGCACTGCGTTCAAGCTACCATCACTTCTTGCCTAGATTGTTGTGAACGGCCCTGAACTGGCCTCCCTGCTTCTGCCCTTGCCTTCCTCCTGTCCATTCTCACATAGCTCCCAGGTGATTATATTAAAATGTAAGTCACATTATGTCACTCCTCTGCTCAGATTTGCCAATGGATTTTCATTTCATTCAGGATACGAGCCAATGTCTTTTAATCATCCACTTTCTTCTTCAGCTACACGGAGCTCCTTGTTCACTGATCATAAGAGGCATGGTCCCGCCTCCGGGTCTTTGCCAATGGGAAGCCTCAGGTATCTGTATGGTTTGCTTCCTTTCCTCCTTTAGGTCTTTACTCAAAACCAGCTTCTCCGCGAGGCTTTTGGCCAATGATCTGAAATTAGTACTCCCACCCCGCCTTTGTGCTTTATTTTCCTCCTGAGCATTTATCTACATTCTACGCATTTTACTTATTTCCACTGATTCTGTCTCTCCCACTAGGATGTAAGCTCCACGAGGCTGGGGTTTCTGGCTGTGTTTTTCATTGTTGTGTCCTTTGCAGCTAGTAAAGTGCTTGGCACATAGTGTAAAATATCTGTTGAATGAATAATTGAAAAAATGTGTGATACATGTCATAAGAAATAAAGATTATTAGTGAAAGCATCATTAGCCAAGACCTGTGAGCCTCATGCCTAAAAAAGTCCATGTGTTATTGGTTTTTCATGGTAATCTGTCTTTGGAAGAACGGACTTCATTTTCCACAAGAGGAGGCTTGAGTTAGCAATGTGGAACTTCAGAGAAGAGTGCTCAAGAAGGAAGAGAAGAGTGATAAATACAGGTAGGTATTAAATAATATTCACTATTGGCCATGTTAGATGAGCTAATGATTTTTAAAAAATTATTACTGCAGGACTTACTCTTCATAGAGGACTAAAATTAGAAATGAATTAAAAGTAGCTCACTGATGGAATTAGCTGTGTCTGGCACACAGTAATGTAATGTATAAAGTGAGTTGGACTTGGATGCCATCCAAGAGGGCTTAGTTGCTGAAGTAGTTTTGTTTCTAGTGATTCTACAATATAGGCATGGGTGTACAGTTAAACTTAGTATCTTCAGTACTATTCCTTATTTTATTTCTATCTTTAGACCTGAGGATTATAAATCCCCAACGTTAAAAGAGTATTCATTTTAGGAAGTACAGTAATTTATCTTTAATATCTGAGGGTCAAGCTTCACAGAAAGCCCTTATGTAGTGTAACAAGAAAGTGGCTCTGAATTTTAACCCTGACACTTTTAGGTAGGTTACTTGGGAAACTTGTTTAGCTTTCTTACTCTTCTGCATCTTTACCTGTGGTAAAAATTTCGCCAGATGGATTTTCTAAGTAATCTATTACTTTAGATATCTGAAGGTTTATTGAAGATTTATTCCTTTAGGTAACAAGC